CATGAGGTATTTCCTGGAATTCAAGTGAGAAGCAGTAACCAGTGTAGTTTAATCAGGTCTGTTGGAAAATATCAACTCACTGAAGACTTTGATGAATGGTTGCTCGATTTCTTGGATTGGTTGGAGTTAGACACTAAAAACGTTGGATGCCGGCTTGGTGGTTCTAGACGTTAAGCACTCGCGCGTTAAAGTGATAGAAAAAAGATCTTACTTTTTTCTGTTTCAAGCAAGTAATTAAAAATCGTCTTATTATGGTTTTGAACACGTTTTTCTTGTAAATATTTTCTCACATCAAGCATACTGATTGTACGAGTTTTAAGTTTACTTCATGTAAAAAATCGAAAAACTGTCATTCGCTAAATGTTATAATTTTCTGTATCACATGAAATGAAATGCTATTTGTGTCCGGTCTTAAACCAAATCGAATTGGAACTATCAGAAAAAACAATCCAGACAGTTGAAAACTGTCGGGCAATGTCCTGGGTTGGTTGAGGTTCGATATTAACGCAGTTGGATGCTCGTTCAGTGGTTTAGACGTTAGGCATTTGCGCTAGACGATAGTCCTGGGTTCAAATCCTACGTGCGGGACCGTGAGTGCGCACTTTGGAGGAATCCTATACTAGAACGAAACGACCGCCCAGTGGTTCCGGAATTTCATCGATGGTCCAACATAAATCGAATCATGATCTCATTCAAAAACTCAACAATCTCCACAACCCCATACTGAGAATACAAGATAGTTTGTGTAAATGAGTGACGTATGCTTCAGAGGCTTTGAAATACATGAAGGATCAGACAATTTTATCATCTAATATAAAAATAAACTATTGTTTTTTTAGAATTTAAAAGTTGATCACAAATGCAAAATGTGGTATAGTCGGGTTCAAAGTTGTTTCAAAACTTAAGAATGACTGAGTTCTGTCGACAACCTTAACAAATAATAGATAATTTTCTATTATCTAGTGAATGTTTATCTGCTTAGTAGACCTGATAAAAATAAATTTTATAGTTTCATATCTACAACTAACCTAGAGTCGATGGGGATTAGAGACGAGTAGTCACTTAATATTCTGAATTTCTTAACGATGCTCATTGACAACGTCGCCAAATACATGGCCGTGAAACGATCTTTCGATTTCCGAACCGAAATTTATAATTTCTGATATCCGTCAGTATTGCAACATTGCGATCATGTTCTTGAGGTTAAGTCCTAACTTCAAGGTTTGTAGTTCTCAGATTTTAAACCTGGTTGTTTAAGCAGGGTCAATCACTGATGTAAAACCCTTTATACTAAAAATGAGTTTATTGATTATCTTAAAAAATCCTAAAGGAAATAATTTTATTTTATATAAGTAGAATTCGATTGTGTCTACCAGTGAAATCAAGACAGCTCGTTTTTTCTTGTTTGGGGCTCATCAGTTGAAAGTAGATGGAACTTCTAGTTTTGATTTTCGAGTTAGGACTTGAACTTAATGTTTTTCATTTCAAAAACAAATGTGTTACGCACTTAACTACTGAGTCCAGATAGCCGGTCACTATTGAAAGGGGTGAACTTTAATTCATCTATATGTCTCATGTTTCATAGCTAATCATTGTCTGAATTCGCTTAAAACGCTTATGACTTATTGTAAATATTGAGGCAATTTACTCAAAATGTATATTTGTTAAGAGAGACTAATCAGTTGCAATCCTTAAAATCAATAATAGAAAGGTTCAAGGACCCTTAAAAATAAATCAATTTTCATCAGTGATAAAATGGTAGGAGAAATCAGTCACTAATTTCACCTATCGTAAATGACTTCTTTACTACAATACTACTTTATTGAAGCTTATAAAACAACATTCTTTCTATAATCATCACTTTCTATTAGAATGAGGGCTTGTGGAGATTGTAGTAATCTTTTTATTAGTTGATTTCATGAGTCAATTTAAGCTAGACTGAAGGTCTTGGGTCCGAATCCCGTATTCGGGATGGTGGATGCACACCGTTGAGGATCTTATTATATGTTTAAAGTTATCTCTATAGTAATATTATCTGGTATTTAAAGACTTATAAATAGGTTGTTTACTCGAATGATAATTAGAAAAACTTTATACTATATTTCACTGTGTCATATTTTAAAAACTTATTTTGTTTATTTGAGCACATGAAGGTTGGTACTAGGGGCACCAAATACATATGCACCACACAATAACAATGAAACCAGTAGCAGTTATCATCGATTTATCTGAGGGCTGTGATACTATTTGGATGCCCAAACCAATGCGGTTGGTTTTCTTAAAGGGCTACTATCCGAGCTTTTGACCTAAAAGTCTAATACACAAGGGAGTAAAGCAACGTCAACAGATGCATTCCCATGGTAGCCAGTGACCAATAATAGGTTCACTCAGGATACTGGAGCTCATGTGCATCATCGATATAGAATTAGGGTTTTTAAACTCTTATAGTTGGATCTTCCATATCCACCAAACCGGTTTAAGCAACGGATATTCGCTTTTCATTCTCTCAATTTCACATACAACACTCTCACCTCAAGAAAGCAGTCAATAGAAATTTCTTGATAGTGTCTGTATACGTGTGTCCGTGTCCGAAAGGTAGAACTGACTTTCCTAACTCTAAGCCATATCAAGGCATTTGAGGGCATATTTTCAAAAAGAAGATATACTCTAAGCCTTTTATTATGAGTAAGCAAAGCATTGACTTCATATTTATTGGCACAATAGAAACTCATTAATCTTAAAATGTTTCTTTTCTTTTGTCATTTAGTAGTAGTAGTAGTAATCAAGCACAAAGTATGCAGGTATATATATTATTGTATATGACTCATAAATCAACTAAGCCCTATGATTCTAATTGACGCCATATTATTCACATTAAACACATACACCTAAAGAAGAACTTCAAGTGTTCTCTTTCATCCTAATTATACCCATAGAGTGAAATCAACGTAATATTAAAGTATTTGTCATTTATATATTTATTTGTTTTATTAAAGAATATTCATTGTCTGAAGAGCTAACCAGGTCTTCAATAGGAAAATTTCATAGAAAAAGGAATTGAAATCTATCGAAATGTACTGCCTTGTTCTAGTTTAGGGTATACATTTAATGATGAATCATAAATAAATTTACAAATGGGATCTGCTAAATCTAGAGCTTAGATTCTTAACTGAGCACTCAACCGCTAAAATTCCTCAAGTCGCAAATGAGAAGATAGAAGACAAGTGAGAAGGAATGCTATTCCAAAAAAAGTGTCAAATATGGTATAAAGTGAAATGATCATTATAATCATGAAATCCTCAAATTGCTTTTTAGCTTTTGTTCAATACGGAAGCTACACGTCGAGATTCTGGAATGTTCTTCCAAGAAATGATTGGACAGAATGTCCCCGGCTCTTTCTGATCTTCTTTGAGTTCACTCATTGGCCGTCCTCACAAAGGTACACAACTTTTTCAAGAAAATGTAAACAACCAAAAGTCTCTCCTCAACACCAATATAAATGAATCATGTATTGAATATATATGTATGAAGATATAAACAAAGAGTGAGAAAATGAGTAAAAAGACTTTTAGTCGATCAGCATTTTTCTAATTGAATACATTTCATAGATAGATAGGTAGTGAAGGTAAACTCAGATATGGTTAACCGATTTATTACTTTTAACAAAATCACAGTGTCCATGTAAAATGTCAAATCATACATTAAGTTTATCATTTGCAAATTTTCCTTGATTTGTCCTTTACACACCCTCATTCTTTCAACCTTGTTGTTATTCCGATTGCTCTCCGTTTTCATTCCCCTCCTACTTATTTCGATATAATTTGTTGGTAAGCATTACACTTGTAATCCCTGCTACATAATGTGGCATGTGCTACTGATGTCGACAGATATAAGTAGTACTTGCCATCAGTGGAAAGGGAAATGACTGAAGGCAGAAGGTTAAGAAGATCAAAGAAAAGAGAACGAGAAGAAAGTATTATTGTTGTGGAAATGAAGGAACAATGAAGTCTGAAACATAAGAATTCCTAGTAAAATAATAATAAGGATCTTTCTTTATGGCCTTAAAAAACAACGTCACACTTTTATTTACTTGGTGTTGTTTGGTTGAATCTTCCTATTGATGTTTAGGACTGTAATTGTTCAATCTCTTATTGGCTATATGTGCGTATTGCCTTGATATAACCTTAATTCACAATTATTATAAGCTTGGATGGATAGTAGCTAGCACAGGAATCCAGGACGCGCGTTTTGTTCTATTGTGGGACTCGTCAGCTGGATGTATTTGCATCTCAGAATTGATGTTTACTTTGGGACTCAAACTCAGTACCGCTTGCTTATAATGATAATCACACTTTGTTATGTATTTACAGTTAATAAGTCTTGCGAGTTGTTCTACGGAAGAAACTAGTTTTAATAAAAGATAATTCATTCCATAAATCTTATGTTACTTGAAAATCATTTGGCATTTAAATTCATTTAGTATTGTTTGTTTGAATCTTCCCATCGATGTGTTAGGACTGCAACTGGTCAGTCTCTAATTGGCATATATGCATATTCTACGTATTGCTTCGATATAGCCTTAATTCAATTGCAATCCTAACACATCGACGGGAAGATTCAAACAAGCAATACTAAATGAGTTTAAATTTCACCTCATTACACAAGCAAGTGGCTATCAGGACTCAATGGCCGAGTAGATAACGCGATAGCGTTTGAATCGAACGGTACTGGGTTCGAGTCTCAGAGTGAAGCTCGATTTTGATATGCAGGTACATCCAGCTGACGAGTCGTGAATAAGACAAAACGCACGTTCTGGATTCCACTGCTATCCACTATCCATCTTTGCTTACCATTTGGCATTTAGCCTTAAAAGTAGAAAAGGACAAGAAAGTTTAAACATTTGATTCTGTTCAATAAAAAACTCATCTATATTCTCATATGCGTTTTCACGTTGTGTATTTCCGTATTATTTATATTTCATTTCTTTGTTATCTTTACAGACAATCTCAATAAAATGGATCGATCCAGTGTATTTCGACAAACCTCTTTACTTGTATGTCTTCCAGATCTTATGCAATTACATTGTCCAATACATATGTATATTAGAACATTAGAAGCTGAAATGTTTCATAGTATCCGAACTATTCAAGAACCAGAATTTATTAGTCCAAGTTGTTCATTTAAAACAAGTCAAATTGAAAAAAAACGAAAACATGAAATAAATATAAAACAAGTCACTGAATGTAACCATAAATTGAATATCATTAAAGTAGGTTTACATGATGGTTACTTTCTAATTTTGAAGACGGTTTAATTGTCAAAAAAAAATTATCATCATAACTTTGTATGATTATCTTTTGAATAGATCAAGAATTTCTATGTCACAAACGATTCAAATAAGAAGGGCATATTTGTAGAGATTTGGTATTTTCATAGTTGAAAGCGTGAGTCAATTGAAGCTAGACCACCAGGGAGAACCTGGAAGGACTGGACAGCCGTTACGTCCTATCGTGGAACTCTAGCTTCAATTGACTCACACTTTCAACTATGAAAATACTAAATTCCCAAAAAAACCTCTTCTGATAATATTAATAATATGCTCACTAGGGACTGACTTCGAGAGGTAAATCCAGGAGTTCTAGTGAGAAACAGTGACTAGTGGAGTTCAAACCACGTCTGTTGTGAGATATCAACTCACCGAAGACAATTGGTGAGCGGTAATTCAAATATAAATTAAGAAAGTCTAGTAATGTTTGCGTGCATATCTAGGCGAGCTTAATGTTAAAGAAAAAATATAATACTATGGTGTGGGTTACTGATATCCATATAAGTAGTATATGATGATGGTCAGGCATTGAATGTATTCCGGAAGAAGATCGATAAGGAAACAACAGTAATGGAAGCGCAATCGCTATAAAACTGCATGAACAATGAAATCAAAGAAAATGGACTGATATTTACAGAAGGAACAGTCAAGATTGATACAATCGATTGATAGTTTACAAATTAACTGTTTACTGTATGATTGTCAGATTTTAGTGAGATATTCTGTAATATTCGTGTTCAATACGTCCGATTGTCCCTACCCGTGTTCTTGTTCACTATAATACTATTCATGATGAGTGTCTCTTTAGTGTAATCAAAAACAGCTGTATAACACTGTTAATTTAAGAGAAAAGCTAAATGACTTTGTTATCCTAATTTATAGTGAATGAAGATATTTAAGGAAGAAACAGTCTTTCAGAGTAGCTTATTCAACCATGAGGAGGTTTTGTCAGCAAAATTTAATAATAGTCTATGAAACTTTAGATTTCATGCGAATTCTTGAACTTTATAGTTTTATAATGGACCTCTCTTCTTGAAAAGTAAACATGTAGCTTTTGTTCATAGATTAATGAAATTCAAAGATCTTCCAGGTCATGTACTGGCTTTTACTCTGATCGATTCACTTCATCTTATTTATTTTAACTAAACAACGATTACAAAATATCTTATAGACACGTCACACTTGTTGAAAGGAGGTACTTTAGCACCTTTACATGCGTTTTGATAGTAGACATAAGCTTTTCAGTCAAAAATCAGAGGTTGTAAATAAAGCATTAAACCATATAGTTTCTACTTCTCCTGAAATGTCGACAGTTGATTAAATCAACAACCATTACTACGTCTCATCATCAAGTGAGCTTTTGATTCTTACACTCTAAAATATTCCCTTAGTTATTCTAAGTTTACTCACAATCAAAATATTACAATTCATTTGGTATTGTTTACTTGAATCCCTCGATTGATATTTACGACTGTAACTGATTAGTCTCTTATTGGCATATGTGCATACTGTGAGCATTGCCTCGATATTGACTTTATTCACAAGTATTATAAGCTTGGATGGATAGTGGCTAGCAGTGGAATCCAGTTTCGTCTTATTTGGGACTCTTAAGCTGTCAATAAGAGACTGAACATTTGTAGTCCTGAATAAAAATGGGAATATTCAATATCAAGTGAATTTAAACTCCACTCCATTGTACAAGCAAGTGGCTATCAGGACTCAGTATGTAAGTGGATAACACAATTTTATTTGTAGCGAACGATACTGAATTCGAATCCCATAGTAAACATCAAATCTTAAATGTATGTACATCCAGCTGACGAGTCCCAACTCGAACGAAACCCACATCAAACTAGATTCCACTATTAACCGCTATCCATCTTTGCCTAAATATATTACATATTGTACATTCAGTTTTCGGTACATATCAACTTATTCATCATGTTCAATGATTTTCTACTCTTCATTTTTTTTAGGTCATTCAACAAATGTGTGAAGGAAGAAAAAATTGTGAACTACAATTATCTCAATTAATACCTAATTTAACTCAATGCTTTGAAGATAATAGTTCTCTACTTGTTAAATATCAATGTTTACCTGGTTAGTAATTATCACGTCATTTGGTGTATTGTTATGCATGGTGCATGAAACATGTCGAACAGACATCATTATTCAATATTCTATGTTTGGTTTATAGAAGATGTAAGAATAAATAACGTTTTCTTCTTTTGAAACATTTTGGCACAAATACTGAAGCCAAAAGTGTACACAGTATTATGATGGATGGAAGATTCATTTTACGAGAAACATATGTTCATTAGACTCGATACAAATATTAGAGAAAACCTATTAAGATAACTGGTTTTAGAAAAGTGTAAATTGATTATCTTACCGATTTCTTAATGGAGATTTTATGTAAGTGTAGTTAAAACAACTATACAAGACATATGGTAATTTTACAGTTGAAATCATGAGTCATTTGAAGCTAGACCACCAGCCGTTTCGTCCTACTGCAGGACTCCTCAACAATGCGCATCCACGATCCCGCCTCACGAGATTCAAACCCAGGATGCCAGCTCATTGGTCTAGTAGTTAAGTGCTTGTACGAGAGACTGATAGGTCCTGGGTTCGAATCTCGCAAGGTGGGATCGTGGATGAGGACTGCTGAGGAGTCACAGAATAGATCGAAACCGCCGTCCAGTTCTTTTAGGTTTTTGATGGTGGTCTAGATTCTATTGCCTCATGATTTTAACAATAAAATTACTGAAATCTCCACAAAAACCGCTTTTGATATGCTGATGTGTTAAAATCAATAAATAATTTATTCAATTAAGTGATGTTAATAACCAACCAACAAGTAAAACAAGCAAAGATGGTTGCTGGTTAACAGTGCAATCCAGGACTCTTGTTTCGTTCTGTTCACTTCGAGACTCGGACCCGGCGTAAACATCAACTCTGGGATCCAGATATACCCAGTTAACAAGTCCCAAATAGAACGAAACGTGCGTCCTGGATTCCACTGTTACCCACCACCCATCTTTGCATATAATGTTTGTAAACCAAGGCAATATTGAGACGATCCACACAGAATACAGAAATTTTAGTAAATATAAACATTCCAAACCTACTTTCCACATTTCAATAAAATATTCAATGTTCTTTTTCGTTCACATTTTAGATCTTGATTCAGCTTTATTTGAAGCAATTTGTACAGATACATATATGGAAGTAAAATGTAATACAGAACGTTCTATCAATGCACTTGTTATACTGAATGCAAAATTTGAAAAAGAAATTAAACCATTTGATAGAAGTTCAACTTATGAATGTTCAATTGTTCCAACTGAGATACCAAGTTAGTTGATGTTTACCTTTGGACATAATGCTTTCATTAATTAGGAAACAGATAATGTTAATAGTATAGTAGTTTCTCATTTAAACAGAAATGATACTATCAGAAGGGATTTTGTGGAGATTTCAGTATTTTTCATAGTTGAAATCATGAGTCAATTAAAGCTAGACCACCATGTAATACTGAAAGCACTGGATGGCCGTTTCGTCCCATTGTGGGACTCTTCAGCAGGGCGCATCCACGATCCCGCACTCACGATATTTGAACCCAGGACCTATCAGTCTCACACCAGAGCACTTAACTGATGATACTATTTTTCTTTGTAGAAATTATTCACATGAAATTCATAGTGATATTTCTCTATAGATAATATTGATTACTTCTTATATTTCTATCGTAGTAAATCAAAGAATTCAGCAGTTATGCAAAGAACACATCCACGATCTCGCACTAAAGGAATTCGAACCCACGGCCTATCGGTCTCGGTCACGAACGCTCAACCTCTAGACCACTGAGACGACATCCAACAGTGTTATTGTCTAATTTCAACCAACCTACGTAATTGAGCAATCGTTCGTCATTGTCTTCAGTGAGCTACTGCTTCACAACAGACAGAGTTGATCTTCACTGGTCACGGCTTCTCACTAGAACTCTGGGAAATACCTCTTGAAGCCAGTCAGTAGTAAGCACATAATTATTAATATGAGAAAAGGGTTCTATGGAGATAGTAGTAACCAGTGGAGTTCAACCGTGTCTGTTATGGGGAAGTAACTTCTTGAAGACAATGATGAACGGTGGCATAATTTTGTTGATTGGTTGATGTTAGACATTAACACCGTTGGATACCGTCTTAGTGGTCCAGAAATTATTGATTTGCCAAAAAAAATACATAAGGCACTCTATCTACATTTTTTTGTGTAACTAGGTACTTTTTCTCATTAGCAGTGATGAGATGAACATCTATCATTTGTGGAAGTAAGAGGTTGATAATTTTCTTATTGAACATATAATGTCTTGTTTGAATCGTTTAAATTTCGAGACTACCATCTTTGTGAGTTCCCTAACAAAAATTTGAAGATAGTTTATATTGCATTCTGACAATCACTAGACAATCTTATAACACCAGGTAGTTTAGATTGTTTTTTCTAATGTTAGGGGATTCATCAACAGTGTGAACTGATGCCACTTCAGTGATCAACTCCACAACTTTCAAGAATTGTGTGTTGTGTTTGATGTTAGATCGTTGGAGTAGCATTCAAGTTTCTACGTTTGCAACTTAAGTTATTTTACAACACTGTATTCAGATTTTAGTGTTACTCAGTCATAAGTAGTGGAAACCCTGGAGCACACATGCATCAGTTTAAGTTAACACAGCTCATTGGCGCAGTGAAATTAAACTGTCAACTCAAATCAATGAGTAGTATAGATTGTACTAGAGCTGGTAACAGTATTATTGGTGATAGGAAAGGTTAGACATAGAAGATGAAATTTGAGAAATTGTGAATAACTGGACCAAATAATTGAGAAGACAATCTGGAAACGTAGGAAGATAGGGAAGTCAAATAGTGAATTTACGTGTATCATTTCAAACGATTCTGATCCATCTTACCCAAAAACTTCAGCTATTTAAGCGCCTCTGTTCAGTGGTCAGTGTGTTCATTGACTGATACCACGTATTTATTCGGGCTTCCTTAGATTTCTTTTAACCTACTTCCACACTAGCCATCAACGCGCTTTCATTAAAAGACGAGCATACGTAATACATATACCAGCCTTCCCAGTATATAAACGGTTTTACTTCACCAATCGATCTTTCATCTACACTTACAACTATGCGTCCATCCTCTGAACTTTAAACTTAATGATCTCAACATACACATGAAATGTTTCGAGCACATATATGATATAACACTAGTAAATTACGAATATCTTTTTCTTTAATGGGTAAGCTTCATACCGATGATTTAGAAGGAAGCTAATATTTGAGTAGTATACTCTCCTAACAGAAGACCACGTCAGATGATGAAAGCATCATATATATAGACAGACTGAAATAGAATATATTGATGTGGGAACTCGAAACACCTGATTACAGATGGCATAATTTTTCAGGTCATGTACAATTTTGAAACATTTGGTCTGTTAGTTCTATCTGCTCATAATGACGAATATATATATCCCTATGGTTATATAACCACTTCTACATTATGTAAGACCAATTAACCATTCTTACTCTTGTCTTTCACAAGAAAAACGGTACATAGATAGTCTTTCAAACACTTTATCCACCCAACGAGAAATGACTAAATAAAAGGAGACCAACCTTCAAGTCAGCTACCTTTTTACGTCTTGTTTATATCTTTAGCCAGTTGAAAAGATAAAATTTCAGTTTGTCTTATTGGTTAAAATTTCCTTGTAAACCACTGAAAATCTCTGTATGCAGTTTCAGCTTAGTGTGTTATATCTTACCAAGACACTCTAATATCTCACTAGAAGTAAATCACAAGATATTGAACGCGCTGACCATGTTACACTTGAATCGGTGAAGTCTTAAACATATTTCATGTTGAGTCTTGACAACCCCACAAATGGTGAGTTTTAAGCCACCATACAAAATATATCTACTGAAGCCTGATCTTTGAAAAAAATTCTTTCTAATTCTTTAGTAGTTGAATTTATGAGTCGATGTCAGCTAGATCACCATTGAAAACCTGAAAGTACTCGTAGGCCGTTTCGTATTAGTATGGAACTCTTGAACAGTATACATCCACGATTCTGTACCGAAGGGGCTAGAACTTAAGATCGGTCTCGCACACGAACTCTTAACCTGTAGACCACTGAGCTGATATTCATTGATGTTAATGTCTAACTTGTGGAAATCCTAACACTGTATTTCTATTGAAGGGGAGTGTTGAAGCCCAAATAAACTTTATATCAACTTCAAATATATTTATACTACTTATATATTTGCTTTATTCACATTCATTAATTTCATTATCTCATTTCTATTAGTTGGATTATCAGACAATGTATGTTCATCCACAATAGATATTACAGATTATTTGAGCAATTCATGTGATGGACATGGTTCTTGTTCAGTTAATCCAAATACTATTGATTTATCAATGAATAAAATACAGAAATGTGGAAAAATGCATCTTAGTCTAGTTTATGTTTGTGGTAAGTGTTTGATTTTTTGGAATCTTATGTTAATATTACTTACTTACTTACTTAAGCCTGTTAGCATAGGCCGCTCACCAGCATTCCCCATCCAACTCTGTTCTGAGCCTTTCTTTTCAGTTCTTTCGAGTTGTTATTCATCATCATGTTAATATTAACTACATTTTAGTTGTGGAAATCATGAGGTAAATAGACTCAGAGATTGAAATAGAAATAATTTCAGCATCGCTTCGAACAAGCTTGTGTGAACTTCTACCGGGTAGTAATCGAATTCAATCATATAGTATTTATTTATTTGAACACATAAAAATCGGTAAAAAGCTGCACCAAATACATATGAACCACATAAGTCATTTGATTTGTGTATGAAGGATGTGATTCTACTCGAGTGCCAAAAATGAAGCAAGTGGTTTACTCAGAGGATCACACTCGGAGCCTACTACCTAAAGGTCTGATGCACAAGGAAGTAGAGCAATGTCAGTAGATGCAGTCCCATGGTAGCTGGTGACCAGCAGTTGGTTCATACTCCATTGTTCACACAGGATAGTGGAGCCCATATGCACCATTGGTATGTAATCAGGGTTTTCCAACTCTCCTAGTTGGACTCTATGTGTCTACTAACCCGGTTACGGCACCGGGAATTCACTTTTCGTTCTCTCAATTTCTTAAACGACATCTCCATCACGAGAATACATTTAGTAAGACTTCCCTTGTAGTGGCTGTATACACTTGTCCATGTGAGAGCATTCAGAGAGGGATGGCGGACTCTAGCCACCCAGGACATTTGGGGGGCAAATTGATTTCATAACTGTCAAAGAATACATAACGCTTAACAATCAATTCAAATTCACTCTAGATGCTTATCCAACTTATAATCAACATCTGAATATGTTTGAATAAATATTTCGTGTAAATTTGACTTGATTGTTGAACGTTATATATTCTTTGACAATTTTGGTATCGATTACTACCCTGTAGAAGTTCAGACAAGTTTGCAGGAAGCAACGTTGGTAGGTCCTGGGTTGAATCTCATGAGGCGGGATCGTGAATTCGCACTACTGAGGAGTCCCACACTAGGACGAAACGGTTGTCCAGTGCTTCCAGGTTTTCCATGGTGTTCTAGCTTCAATTGACTCATGCTTTCAATTATAATCTTTATTAAGAAAGTACTAGACTACTGATTAGTTCATGCTCCATTATAAGAGATAAATAATTTGTCAGCATGAACGAAAATCCCTGAGTTTTTTTCATACTGATTCTAATCATTAACAAAACTAATATATAATCTATATAAGAATTTTCGTCTAAAATAAAGCGAATAGTTTCACAGTCTTTGGACACCGAGTTAATGTAAGAGATTAAATAGGAATAATATATATTTGTAAAATCTCAGCAAAGTGAATTTGAAGTAAATCCAACGTTTCATTTGGCAATCTGGTCCAACGAGATATTTCTTTGAAAAAGCTTGGATCAGATTGCCAAACGAAACGCTGGATTTACTTCAAATTCACTTCTCTGAGATTTTACAAATATATATTATTCCTATTTAATGTTTGATGTGTAATCTAGTCTGTTTCCTTTTCCATAATTTTCTTTTCACTTTCTTTCTCTCTCTCTTTTTCTTGTCTGACAGTACCACCGGAACTAATTATAACAAAACATTTTATAAATACAAATAATGAACGACATACTGAAAAACAAAAAACAATTCAAAGACAACCTAAAGGTAATAAAATATTGAATTTTCTTTTTCCTTTTTTCAAGTTGAAATATGGCATAGCAACCATTCCACAATCGATTTTGAGAAGGGATTAATTTTGGTTAAGCCTTTTTATTAACTTACTACTTAATAGACATCGTCATTTGAATAGTAACAAATTGTATATTTCTTTGTACTGTTATGACAACTAGAGCATATGACACGCTAGACAAAATGTTGTTTGCCTAAATGCTCTGGTGCGTGACTGGTAGGTCATGGGTTTGAATCTCGTGAGGTGAGGTCATGGATGCACACTGTTGAGGAGTCCCACAATACGACGAAACGGCTGTCCAGTGCTTCCAGGTTTTCGATGGTAGTCTAGCTTTAATTGAATCACGCTTTCATTTATGATTGCTTAAGTATCATTCGATGACTAATACTCCGCCCCCATATATGTATGCATGCAAATTTTAATGTCAGCTTTTGATTTGTTTTGCTGTGCCTTTATTCAGTTTGACTGTAAATTGCCTATGTAATGGCTTGCTCGCTTGCTGCTTGCTCGCTCGTTGATATTTGCTCAGGTGCTGTTAGCTTTCTGGCCTGAGTTATTTGACAATAAACTGTTGTTGCTGCTTCTCTTTACCTTCTGGTTTTATGCACCGTTAAGATTGAGATTATAACGGATATCAAGGTGAACGAATAACGAGGCATGACACTACAATGGATAATTTGGAATGTACTTCATTCGAAGTTAATTTGTATATACAAATTAAAGGGAAAAAAACTGAAAAAACCAAAACTAGTCAATACAATAACAAAAATGGTAGTTTATTAAAAGTAATAAGAACTAGATGATAGAAACTCATCATATCATCATAAAATATTGTAATCGAGTTTAAAGGTAATGTATGAATAATGGTTTATTTTAAAAAATTCTTGGTTGGGACCATCAATCAATTGATGCTAGACCACCATTGAAGAGCTGGAAGTACTAAATGGCTGTTTTTTCCTGGTAAGTGGCTCCACAACACTGCGCGTCCATGAACTTTTACGTGAGGTTCGAACTCAAGACCTTTGATTTTGCGCGCGAGGATTTAACCTTTGGACCACTGATCTAGCATCAAACTGTGTTAATCTCCGAATTCCATCGTTCCATGAATGGCTGAGCAACCATTCATCCATTGTCTAAGGTAGATAGCTGTATTTATTTGATATGTTTGGGAGTCCACTGGTCTTGGCTTCTCATTAGAACTCCAGGAAATTATCTTGGAGCCAGTCATTAATGAACACATGTTTATTATTATTATTATCAGTATGGGATTATAGAGGTTGTTAAGTTTTTTATTGAGATTATGAATCGATGAATGTTAGTTCACCATTGAAAACCTGGACAGTAACACCGTTGGATGCTGGTTCTCTGTTCTAGAGGTTATGTTTCGAGCGCGAGATTGAGGGTTGCGTGTTTGAATTCCGCGTGCAAGGCTGTGGATGTGCACTATTCAAGAGTCCTCTATCTGGAAGAACCGGTCGTCCACTGCTTCCAGATTTTTAATGGTGGTTTAATATCAATCGATTCATGATCTGAACCAAATACTTAGCAATTTCCGCAACCGCATACAGATAATGCTTTATTGGCATGAAATGTTACCGATTATGAATTAATAGATTGAACACACTGTAAGCCTGAAGACAGTATTTGGATTCATTTAGTATTATAATTAATAAACTGAAGTTGAAGAAATTCTTCATCAGGTCTTGAATCAGTAGTTTGTAGGATTCTAAGCCATAGACTAGGAAGACGTGATTTTCCTGTATTCCTTGTTTTTGATAGTTCCTCAGTACCAAGTTGATATATCTTTGTATCGTCAAGATGTTATTAACTGAAATGAATATATATTATAACATAAAATAAACGATCTTATAACATAGTTGTAAGTAATGGTATGTGGTGAATTGATCAGACTAGTACCGATTACTTAGTACTGTTTGTTTGAATCTTCCCATTGATAATTAGGACTGCAATCCATCAGTCCCTTATTGGCCATCTGTGCATATTGTGCGTATTGCCTCGATATTGCCTTAATTCACAATCATTATAAGCAAAGATGGATAGTGGGTAGTGGTTGAATCCAGTTTGACGCGCATTTCATCCTATTCGGGACGAAACTGGCGTCCTGAATTCCACTGCTAACCACTATTCATCTTTGCTTATAGCTCTGATTACCATCTAATTTTTTTTCTATCTTATTATTTATTATACAGAAATTCAAACTGTACGTTCAAGCAACAAAATTCACACGTTAAATCCTTCTGATGTATCACCTTATGAGAAGAGTCAACTATCATTTATGGGAGCGGATATTGAGCCAAGTGAGCATTAATGAATACTATTTAGTAATAATACTACTACTACTAATAATAATAATAGTATTTCAAGGTTATTAATTGATTACATAATCAAAGTAGTTTAAGATCATTATAATAAATATTTATATAAATTATGTTGTTCGATCCTAATTGAATTGGTTTTTAAAATGGATCATAAATATTCACTGATTGTAATTTGAGTGAGGAAGTAGAGCAACGTCAAGAGATGCATTCATTTGGTAGCAGGTGACCAATAATTGGTTCAGACGTCATTCGTTCCTTCAGGATACTGGATCTCACCACTGGCTTGTGATCAGGGTTTTCCAACTCTCCTAGTTGGAACCTCCATGTCTACCAACCCGGTTATGGCACCGAAAATTCACTTTTCGTTCTCTCAATTTCTTAAACGATATCTTCGCCACGATAATGCAGTTAGTAGGACTTCCCTTGTAGTGACTGTATATGCGTATTCATATGAGAGCATTCGAAGAGCGAGAGTTTATTCTCATCACCCTCTGCTGCACCAGGGCATTTAGGGGCCTATTTCACATTAGCATTGTAATATATTGATCAATTTATTTCAATAAGCTTAGAAAAACTGAACAATGAGATTAGAATCTTAATAATCTAGTCAATATATTGCTAATGGTTGATAACATATACTGTGATCACTGATCATAATTAAACTATTATTTCATAGTGTAATTCAAGAATATAACAGTCGATTTAAACAGATCATGTTCCAGAACATTATTACATAATGCAATGGTTCCTTGTTAAAACCAAGAGAATTTTATTCACTGAATTAGTTTATCAGATATGATATCATTGAACTATGAAATTGAAACCGTATAATCGATATTTTCCAGTATAATTTATTACGTTATCCTTATTACCAGTCCAATATTCTAGAATATTATGGAATAGAATGTGGACAATATCTTACATCTAAGGTATTTTTTTCAATTATAGGACTTTTATGTAATGTTGTTAGTTCAAAATGTACATACATTGTACTGTTTTGAAGTGATCTACAAATAACCGAATGCATTCATTATGGATTTCTGTAATTCTTTGAAATGAAGACATCCTTTTATTATTACAATGGGGTTTTGTTGAGACTTTTAGTAATTTTATATAGTTAAGATTATGAGTCAATTGAAGCTAGATTTCCATGAAAAACATGGAAGCAGTGGACGGATGTTTCATCCTATTGTGGGACTCCTGAGCATTGTACATCCTGGAGTTCCTAGAGTTCTAGTGAGAAGTCGTAGCCAGTGAATTTAATTCATGTCAGGTAGAGAGACATTAACACCACTGGATGCCGGCTCAGTAGTCTATCGGTTAAGTGCTCTGACGCGAGACTGGTAGGTCATGGGTTTGAATCTCACGAGGAGGGATCGTGGATGCACACTGCTGAGGAGTCCCATACTAAGACGAAACGGCCGTCCAGTGCTTGCAGGTTTTCCATGATAATCTAGCATCAATGGACTCATGATCCTAACTATATAACATTTTTTTATTTATCAGCTAAAACGTTTTTATCCTCATAGGGATTATCTTTTTGGCTTGAAGAATATAAAATCTGATTTTAGCCGTATGTTACTGACCTATAATAAAGTTTTGACTTTTTGTTTCTTAAATGAAATTTATTACACCCTTAGGTTTAGGCCATGAGTACTTGATTATTCATTAAACATTATGTTTTCTTCCTTATGGGTCAAGCAGAGTTAAAGGTCAAGTTAAATGTAAGTGTGTAATGAACGAACACTCAAGTGGGGACAACCAATTTATTTCCAATCCAAAATTACAGAGTTCTTTTGTAAAATGTGAGAACACATCTTCATTTGCTAAATTCGCATCATTTGTTCCCTACAAAATTCATCGTTCGTTCATTCCTGTCGTTATTACAACTACTCTCTGTTAACATTCCCATTCTCTTCAATTCGATCTTCTTAACCTTCTGCTGTCAGGCATTCCACTTCTGATTGCTGTTATATATTACTTATGTCTGTTGACATAGGTAGCATACACCACAACAGAAGTGATAGTCTAGTTTACATTTACTAAATCATGAATAATATGTTCATAAAAATGTCAGATTGATCAAGTATTCAGTGAGTCAGTCAATCAGTCACAGCGTAGAACTTCGTACGTATGTACATCAGTTCGAGTTACCATATCACATTAGCACAAAGATCCAGTTGTCTACTCTAATTCCATAGTGGTAGAAGTAGTAAGAGTATAAGCAGTAATCTGAAAGATTGCGGTTCAAAAATGTTATTCAAGGAGTATAATCCAGTGAAATAAATTTGGAAAGAATAAAAAGAAAGGGATTTTAAGAATTCAGAAGATTAGATTTTGAGAGAACACAAAGAGTGGATGCACCTTCCCCATTGCAAACGATTTTGAGCCATGTCATTCAAGGTCTCTAACCATCATCGATTGCTATCATTTCGGGGATTCCAACAAGGTAGTCTATACCTAACATCATGGTTCAGTCTACTTGTCAGTGATTTCATGGATTTATGCCACGTTTTGGTCTGGTCATTGATCAAGTATTACTGATACTTTATATTTTATACAGATTCAATTATTATCAGAAGGGGTTTTGTGAAGATTTAGTATTTTCATAGTTGAAAGCGTGAGTCAATTGAAGCTAGACCACCATGGAAAGCCTAAAAGCACTGGACGGTCGTTTCGTCTTATTATGAGACTCCTCAAAAGTGCGCACCCATGATCCCGCACTTGAAAGATTCAAACTCGGGACCTAACAGTCTCGCGCCGGAACACTTAACCGATATTATTTCAGAATAATAACCTTTCATATAACTTAAATGAACTTTAAAATGCACTTTTTTCTTCTATCAATTAGATAAGAAAAAACATTCAATGGATCTAAGAAAATCAATGAATGTTCATATGAATTCAAGAACAACTGAACTACTTCATAAAAATCAAGATCCATATATACCATCATTCAGTCCATCTATATCACAATCATCTTTAATTGGTTTTGGAAGTGGTCTTTTCATTCTTTTATGCATACTATTCATAGTGATTCTAATCTATCGTAAATATAATAATAAACATACTGAAATGAAATCTCAACATGCATCTAAATCAAATGAATGTCCAACAATATGCTTTACTCATTCAAATGATGATTGGTCAACAATCAATTCAAAAGCGTTACATATGACACCTATTACAGAGATACCTTTACCGAATGATATCAAATTTTTATGTCCTGTATGTAAACTATCAACGAATCCATGTTCAATGATAAATGATTTACATAAATATCATAATGAGAATTGTCAATGTCATATCAATTCTAATACAGTAGGAAATCTAAATATTTGTGCTTTACATCATAAAACGTTTGATAGTAAACCATGTTGTATAACAGGACATCATCATGATAATTCATCTGATTTATATACTATGAAAATAATAACTCCTACATTGAATCAATCACCAGTAAGTCGAATCACTATACACTTGGTATTGCCTTGTTTTGTTGTTGTTGTTTTAGTTCCAGAGTACTAGTTACTATGTAAACAATAAAATGGAATGTGATTAAATTTTCATAGTTGAAATCTTAAGTCAATTGAAGTTAGACCACCATGGAAAATCTGGAAGAACTGGACGGCCGTTTCATCCCATTATGGGACTACTCAGTAGTCCTCATCCACGATCCCGCGTCAAAGGGACTCGAACCCGCAACCCTTAGTCGCGCGCCAGCACTAATCTTTGTCTTGTAGAGATAGGCATCTACAAAAAACATTGGAAGATGGTCGCGCAATCCCATGAATCGGTTGAAGTTAGACATAAACAACGTTGGATGCCGGCTCAGTGGTCTGGAGTTTAAGCGTTTGTGCACGAATCTCGTGTGTACGATCGTGGGTATGCATTATTGTGAAGTCCCATACTAATACGAAACGGTCATCCAATGCTTCCAGGTTTTCAGTGGTGGTGTAGCATTGATCGATTCATAATCTCAATCAAAAAAAATGAATGAATTTTTTAGCAAAGAGTACTCACTAAATAGACTGTAATTAAAGGCTTGCAACATCAGTCTGTAAAGTTAGGGAAAATGATCATTGATAGTCTTACTCCTTCTCACCTGATAGACAATGAACACCTTCAGTTTCATATCAGGCAACTATCTCTCAACAAGAATAAAATTGTGCCACCTCTGAATAGATCAGTCAAATCTTATGAAAACACTCAGTTTACATTGAGTCACAATCAGATAACCCAGATAGCCCGATCACTGTTTCCAGTTCATATGATTTTTTTGTCATTGTCATCACAATTAAATTCACTCGGTATTGTTTGATCGAATCTTCCAATTGATGTTATGAACTGCAATTGATCAGTCTCTAATTGGCCATAAGAGCATACTGTGCGTATTGCCTTAATTCACAAGCATATGGCCAATTAGAGACTGATCGACTGCAGTCCTAAACATCAATGGGGAGATTCAACCAAACAATAACAAGTGAATTTAAACTTCATTCCATTGCACAAGCAAGTGCATATCAGTAATCAGTAGCTAAGTGGATAAAGCGATAGCATTTCAAATGAACAAAACTGAATTGTAGTCCCAGAATGAACATCAACTCTGAGATGCAAGTAAATCCAGCTGACGAGTCCCAAATCGGATGAAATCCGCATCAAACTAGATTCCACTGCTAACCATCATCTATCTTTCCTTATTATCATAATTACCTTGACATAATATTTTTCCAATAATATAGTTTATTAACAAGATTCTAAAAAAGTAATCATGACTCACCATCCTACAGTAACTTTTCTTACCTCTTCTCATAAGAATTATTAACATTACTAATGACATCCTTTTACATTTGTTAAAATAATAATCATTGTAATATATCATATTTCTCAGGTATAGTACTGACTAAATTATTCATAACTTATACACTGTATGTATTTTCAATTGTATAGTTTGAATTTAAGTATTTATAGGTAATCAGTAAGAACTTTGGGGCTATTGCCCCCAAACGCCCCGGTACGGCCGAGAGTGAAGAGAGTTATCTCTCCCTCTCCAAATGCTCACATATGGCCACGCGTATATAGCCTCCCTTAAGGAAGTCCTACTCATCACATTCTCGTGGCGAGGGTGTTGCTTACGAAATTAAGAGGACGAAAAGCGAATGTCCAGCGCTTTAACCGGGTTGGTGGACACTGAGAGTCCACCTAGGGGAGTTGGAAAACCCTCATTCCAAACCAATGGAGCACATAGGCTCCAGTGTTCTGAGGGAACAAATGGCATATGAACTTACTGTTGGTCACCGGCTACCATGGGATGCATCTCCTCACGATGCATCATTGCCTTGTGGATCAGATATATAGGTCGAAGGCTCCGAGTGTGTCCCCCTAAGAAAACTACCTGCTTCGGTGTGGGCACCTGGGCAGTATCACAGCTCTCACACAAATCAAATGAGATTTGTGTAACACATATATATCTGATGCCCCTTTGTTCCAAAATTTATGTATTAAAATAAAAAATAATAAAACTTATTCAGGCTATTGAAATCAAAGCATATTTAAATGAACTTGATCATTAGTAATAACAAGTTTATAATTTGAAAATTAAAAAATTCAGCCAAGGGATCTCTTTTCAACGAATTTCTTAACAAGCTGTACAATCATATATATATATATATATGAAAATGTTTTGTTAAAGTACTAATTCCGTGAGGAAATGTGAACACGAACAATCAGGATGACGTAATGGAAAGCTCATAATACAAGATTACATAATACAAGTAATAAGAGGTGAATATATTGAGGTGATTAGAATGAATATATTAGACATTAATACCGTTGGATGCCGTCTCATTGGTCTAGAGGTTAAGCGCTAGTGACTGATAAATCTTGGGTTCCAATCTCGTGAGGCGGGATCGCGGATGAGCACTTCTGAGGAATCCCACAACAGAACGATTTGGCCGTCGAATGCTTCCAGATTTTCCATGGTGGTCTAACTTCAATTGACTGATGATTTCAACTATAAAATAACTTACTTTCTTATTGAAAACCATTGATATATGTAACTTGGACAAGTTAAATATATAACGGCATGATCTAATTGTAATTACAATTCATTCAATAGATTTTGTATATTCGAACAATGAATTTTGTCAATAATTTTTAAAAAAGTTCGGACATGCACTTGACTGGTCCTAAATAGAACGAAATATGAGTCCTAGATCTCACTATTTATTAGAAATATCATCTGATTAAATTCACTTGTTTGAATCTTCCCATTAATGTTTAGGACTGCAATTAATCAGTCTCTTGTTGACATATGTGCATCCTGTGCGTATTGACTCGATATTGACTTAATTCACAAGCATTATAAGCTTGGATGGATAGTGGCAAGCAATAGAATTCAGGACACGCATTTCGTGCAATTTGACACTCATCAGCTTGACTTACTTGCACCTCAGAGTTGATGTTCACTCTGTGACTCGAACCTAGTACCTTTTGCTTCAAACGTCATCACGTTATCCACACAGCTACTGAGTCCTGTTATCCACTTGCTTGTGCAATGGGTTGAATTTTGAATTTATCTAGTATTGTTTGTTAAGATAATATTAATAACAACAGTAATTTCTAGGGTGATTGTTCATACATGCCATTGATTACATGCTTTTTCAAATACTTTTTAATCAATCCTTCTTTCTCTATTCTTTCTAAAAATGTTTTATTTATCTTCTTTTGCAGTGTATGTTCAATGTATGCACATTAGATATAACAAATGATCTAAACTCTATACATCATCCTCTTAGTACAAATACAATGAATAGTGGTAATTCAAGAAATACAATTACTGATTATATACCAACAGTTACATCACCACCATCATCAATTCATAGTATCCATTATGAATATCATAGATCACCTACAGTAGATCCAAAATGTCGATCAGATCTAACATCTAATATCATTGAAGAAACTGTTTATAATACAAATAATAATAATAAGTGTAATTTTAATTATATTAATACATCACAATCCATGAATAGTAGTCATTCAACAGGATATGGATATGATATTGGCAATGGAATAAATGAACATCGATTACATAATACTACTATTAATAGTAATAATAGTAGTGGCAATAATATTATAACGGATCATTGTCAATATGATATGAAAACAATCAATTTAAGAAATCAAAATGAAATAATCAATAATGATATGATCAGATCACCATCGAATCATTTCACTGATCAAATAGATTATCAACAACATATTGTCACTACTACTAATAATAATAGTAGTAATAGTATTGATATTGATAATTGTATCGAATCCCTTGAAAAGTACGGTCATTATAATGAGAGCAGATCAGTATATGAAATTAATTCACCTTTGAAATCTAAATTAGAACATCAAATAGATTTCAACCCTCAAAGATATGGTTGTATAACAATCACCAATGATAAACAACACCCATATTATCAAAAAGAAATTGATGAAATGAATTACCATAGTAACAAATTTATAATCAATAATTCTAATTCAATAAATCAAAGATGTAATTCATTAGGTAATGAATCAATTGAAAGTCTTGCTATATCATTAATTGATCCACCACAAAATTTTCGTACATCCAATAATGAATTACATTTAAATACTAATACTACTAATAATAATACTACTAATAATAATAGTAATCATATTACATCATCTATAAAGGTAACCTTAACTTCAACATATAAACCACCGGATGTTATATTAAAAAGTGGTAATTATCATGATGAAATGGATTTAGAAAGACCACCACCTAAAATGCCACCATTAAGAGGTATATTAACTGATAAAATCTGTTATGATTAAGATATTAAAAGACAAGCATTTCAAATTTTATTTCTTCTCTTTTTCTTTATATTAATGATTATGTAATTAGTAACTATACAATAATAAACTTCTTATTGTCTATGAATTGATAACAGACTTGAAACAACAAGGATCATTCAGCATTGTAAATAGTATTAATATAAGTAGTACTATTAGTAGTATCTATGTTAATTAATTGATTTTTTCTTTTGATCTTTCTTAATCTTTTGTTGATTTTGTTAAAGGAACCAATTCGGTAGTTTGTTTTGTTCCCTTGTTTTGTTGTTGTTGTCAAGTGTAAATGAATAAGATAAATATCATATATGTTTGTAAACTGTAGGTTATCATGTTTATTTAAAATTTGTAAATATCATTATTGAAGTTTGATTTGATAATTTTCAATAAACAAAGTACTGGATGGATTAGTAAGACTATAATTTATGGATGAGTTAATCAGAAGCGTTTGAGGGATTTCAAGTTCACGGTGTCGGTTTCAGTACCTGATGTTCGCGTACGATCGAATCACGGAGGATTTCAGAGAAGACTTGATAAATGAGCAGCTACAACAAGCAACTACTAGCAAGTTCCTTTATTTTCAATTGCGGTAATCAAATGACTTGTAGACCTTGTGGAGTCTGCCGTGATGATGTTGTTTTTCGATGTAATATATGTTGGAGGAAGAAGTCTGCTAGAATAGGAGCTATTTTCACTCGATCCAGATTGAGACTAAGGTAAATTATGATAATTGTTGCGAACTGTATAATAAAAGCACTAGTGGCATTGGCTGCGATATTCACAGATGTTACTGAAGCTTCCGTTGTTCAGTGGTATTAGTATTTTGGATATATATGCATAATAAAAATGACAAACAATACAAACAATATTGAAACTATATGGTCGAGGCTGAAAGACTTTTACGACCTCATCATAGTTCAAGAGACCGACTATTATAGAGCCATATGGATGAGTTCCTTCTCCAGTATGTATTACGATTTTAAAACCTCTGAACCTCTTCCTAACCTTGACAAGTTTTTGGACCATGTAAAAGTAGTGTATCCACTTTAATTCTTTGATTTTGTATAATACACTTTTACTCTATACTGACTGTTTTCTGATTAGCTAATATTTCTCAGGGTCACCTAAGATTCCTTCAAAAGTAGTTCAAGAGTTCTAATCTCGTCGATGGATTCGTTATATTAATAATAATAACAAAAAATAAAAAGAAGGATACTGTATATTTTTATTCTTTCAATAAGTAAAAACTGAAATTTCCATCTTTTCGATGTGTAGTGTAAATCGTTTCTACAGTCAATCTGTTGTGTACAAAACACTTGTTGGGGAAAATCGAATGTATTTAGGCAAAAATTAAAGACTATCTCACGAACTTCTGATAACCATACAATGAACAGTTAATTTGCAAAATAACAACCAATTGTCTACATCTTAACTGTTCCTTCTGTAAATATCAGTTCATCATCTCTAATCCCATTGTTCATACATTTTCCTACCAATTGCGCTTCATTTCAGTTCTATCCTTATCGGTCTTCTGCCAAAATACATTCTATGTCTGACCACCACCATATACTACTTACATGAATATAAGTAGATCACAATACAATTCTACACAAAACACATAATCACTGTAAGATATGAATGCCAAAGTTTGATTTAATTTACTCTGAAGAAGAAGATCATATGAAGCGACGAAACGTCGGAAATACAATTTGTTTTCTACTTATTAAGATCAAGTAGTACATAAAAGTTTAGTTTTCTTCTTAGTTAGTAATAAAATACAGTCGTATATATATATATTACTTACTTACTTTCGCCTGTTACTCCCAATGGAGCATAGGCCGCCGACCAGCATTCTCCAACCCATTCTGTCCTGCGCCTTATTTTCTAATTCTATCCAGTTCTTGTTCATTCTTCTCATGTCTGTCTCTATTTCTCGGCGTAATGTGTTTTTTGGTCTTCCTCTTCTCCTTTGACCTTCAGGATTCCATGTGAGGGCTTGTCTTGTGACGCAATCGGATGATTTCCTCAAGGTGTGCCCTATCCACTTCCAGCGCTTCCTCCTGATTTCTTCCTCCGCTGGAATCTGGTTTGTTGTCTCCCACAGTAACTTCTTGCTGATAGTGTCTGGCCATCAGATCCGAAGTATCTCGCCTAGACAACTGTCAATAAACACTTGTATCTTCTGGATAATGGCTTTCGTAGTTCTCCACGTCTCCACCCCATACAATAGAACTGTCTTGACATTTGTATTGAAAATTATAACCTTGGTGTTGGTTGACAATTGTTTTGAGTTCCAGATGTTTTTCAGTTGTAAGTATTCTGCTCTTGCCTTGCCGATCCTCGCCCTCACATCTGCATCTGATCCACCGTGTTCATCGATGATGCTTCCCAGATATGTAAAGGTTTCCACATCCTTCAAAGCTTCTCCGTCAAGTGTAATTTGATTGGTGCATATTGCGTTGTATTGGAGAGTCTTGCTTTTCCCTTAGTTTATATTGAGACCTACTGTTGCTGAGACCGCTGCTACACTGGTCGTTTTCTCCAGCATTTGTTGTTGCGTTTGTGATAGAAGAGCCAGATCATCTGCGAAGTTTAGATCGTCAAGCTGCATCCTGCCTGTCCACTGTATCCCGTGATTTCCTCCAGTCGTTGACGTCTTCATGATCCAGTCGATTACCAGGAGAAAGAGAAAGGGTGAGAGTAAGATATATATATATATATATATATATATATTCAAGCTAAAAACGAGTCAAATTAAAATGAACGTCATATGCCGCTCTATAAATTCATATTGTCTTTATTATAATAACCCTCAATCAGTATTGATTCTATCGGTCATAAAATAAGTAATGAATTGTTTGATATCCCTGTCATTATATATCAATTATTTGTAATTACATTGTATTGTACATTACATTTTATAGTTGAATACTGATCATAAAACTAATGCCTTTGATGGAGTAGCTAATAAAATCTATAATTTCTATGATATATAATTAAAATGTATGAATTGTAGTAGAATTTCAAAGTGGTTAAATATATTGAACAAGCTATTGGTTATCTGTATTCAGTTGCTAAATGTATAATGTGATGACGCTTGAAGTGAAAAGTACCGGGTTCGAGTAACGATGTAAATAGTGAATCTAGGATGCAGGTACATACAACTGACGAGTCCCCAGTCGAAGGAAATGTGTGTTCGGGATTCCACTACAATCTACCATCCGTTTCTGCTTTTAGTGATAGTGACATAAAACAAAATCGAAATTATCTCGTATAAATGTTGTTTACTATTTTATGGTGTAATGTGGCCTCTTTGGGTGGTATACAAATCAAGTATGTTTGAAATAAATGAATCACATAGTAGAAGCCGATATTGGTATTCTGGACTCAACTGGAAGGGCTAGGAGGACAAAGGACAAATAAGGACTCTAGGATGCTCACACCAGTTGAACATCATTGTTATGGCACAGTTCTAAGATTGTATAAGTCTAACTCTTATTGGTGAATAAATCACGTGATAATTAGTCAGGCATAAAGTATACAACATCTGGAACTCAAAACAATTGTCAACCAACACCAAGATCAGAATTTGCACTAAAAATTTCAAGACACTTCTGCTGTATGGGGCGGAGACATGGAGAACTACGAAAGCCATCATCCAGAAGATACAAGTGTTTATTGACAGTTGTCTAGGCGAGATACTTCGGATCCGTTGGACAGACACTATCAACAACAACCTACTGTGGGAGGGGACAAATCAGATTCTAGCGGAGGAAGAAATCAGGAAGAAGCACTAGAAGAGAACAGGACAAACATTGAGGAAAGCACTCAACTGCATCAAAAGGCAAGCCCACACTTAAAATCTTGAAGGCCAGAGGAGAAGAGAAAGGCCAAAGACCACATTACGCCGAGAAATGTAGACAGATATGAGAAGAATGAACAAGAACTGGATAGAACTAGAAAGGAAGGCGCAGGACAGAATGGGTTGGAGAATGCTGGTCGGCGGCCTTTGCTCCATTGGGAATAACAGGTGTAAGTAAGTACGTAAGTATTAAAGTACACAAAATGAATATATATATGATATCATGAAAACATGCTGAATACTAGGATAAATTCATTCTAACATTTGTTACTCTCATTCTATACATCTACTTAATTTATACTGTTTCATTTCTATTGTATTGAACAAAAAGATTTATCAGTGTAATAGAAGAAAAAAGGTACTTCAATAACATGTATTCATCCCTATTCATACTAACATCAATGTATACCAATGCAAACATACTAAATGTATAAAGGAAATGTTAGTGTTTTAACTTGTCAAAATAATATATTCCTGACTTAGGTATTACCTTTTCTTGGTAACAAACTTAATTTCCAACCAAAGATGGATAGTAGCTAGTAGTGGAATTCAGCTTGAAGCGCATATTTTCCTAAATGGGACTTGTCAGCTGGATGTATGTGCATCTCAGAGTTGATAGTGTGGTGTGGTCTACTTATATCTATATAAGTAGTATATGGTGTGGGTCAGACATAGAATGTATTTTCGCAGAAGACCGATGAGGAAAGAACTGAAATGAAGCGCAATCGTTTGGAAAATGCATGAGCAATGGAATAAGAGAAGAAACAGTGAAGATTGAAACAATTGGTTGTTAATCTGCAAATTGACTGTTCATTGTTTGGTAATCAGAATTTACTGAGATAGTCTGTAATGTTTGCTTAAATACATTCGATTGTCCCCAACTAGTGTTCTGTTCACTACAATAGGACGAAACTGGATTCCATTTCTGGTCACTATCAATCGTTAACTATAATGCTTGTGAATTAAGGAAATATCGAGGCAATACACACAGTATGTACATATGACCAATAAGAGACTAACCAGTTGCAGTCCTAACACATCGATGGGAAGATTCAAACAAACAATACTAAATGAATTTAAACTTAATTTTTGGTTACATTTCGTTGACAATAAGTTTATAATT